TGTTAACTAATATGTACTATCAATTTAGTTACATCTCTCAACGATTAATCTTCCTCTGAGTGTACATGGTGTATTCATGGCTTGAGGGAAAGAAAAGCAATTAATCAATACACAATAACCCTTTCAGTTATGAAACTGATTTAAAAGTAATCAAACGGAACTCAAACTTTAGGAGATGTTGGTTGTACGTCAATATGACAGCAATCAAACGACAAAATCAACATAAGAACATCTAGTGGGGAACATATAGTCTTCAACAAGAAACAGGTGTCTAGACAATATGTCAATTTCTAAATCGTCACGTTTTTATATAAGAATTTTGAATACATTTAACAAAAACAATTACAAATCTGCCGTTTAAACGCAATTCTTCAAATAATATAACAATTTAGAAAATAGCCTGAACATAAAAAAAATAATAATTTAAAAGGTACCAACCTTTTAGTACTTAAGTGCACAATTTTCCATTCCTTTAACCTACAAAAGAACTTTACCAGAGTCCATGGATTGAATATCGTCTGCATATTTTCCAAACGGTCATGTAAATTGAAGGTGTCATGTGTTAAAACAGACGTAGGGTCACCCGAGCCATGCAGATTAAATGACATACACCGATTTGCTTGTTCAATAACTATAACATTTAAACAAAAATCCTGCGGACAGAGTATTGAACACCGAAATTTAAAGTGAAACTCTCTCTCTCTCTCTCTCTATATATATATATATCTCTCTCTCTCATAATAAGTTTCGATGCCTAAAATGTGTCATGTTTTACTTGCAAATAAAAACAATTTACATTTACTGAAACAGTTTAAATTGTCAGACATTAAACTCTTATTAATACAAAACATTTATTATTAATAATAGATTGCATGAAATTTTATAAGTATGTCATTATTTATATATCTTTTTTAAGGATGCTAGCGTATTTACCTGTTAAATGATTTTTTTGACAAAATATACAATTAAGTCTTTCTAATGCCTTAAAATCTAATACTCTCTTATCTTGCAATAGTATTAAATCATTTGACTTTTCTACACTTTACACAAGTATTCCCCATTCCAAACTAAAAGACAAATTGAAAGTGTTGGTATAACTTTGTTTCATTAAAAAGAAAGGCGAACGTAGATACAAGTATCTTGTCTTGGGGAGGGATAAATCCTACTTTGTAAAGAATCACTCTGATTCAAACAAAAAATTCTCTGAAACTGACATTATCAAGATGCTTGATTTCTTGATTGACAACATATTTGTTACGTTTCGAGAACGTGTTTTTCAACATACTGTCGGAATTCCAATGGGAACCAATTGTGCCCCTCTTCTTGCCGACTTGTTTTTTTATTATTATGAGGCTGACTTCATACAGGAACTTCTTAGGAAGTAAGATAAGAAGTTAGCAGTATCCTTTAACTTTACATTCCGCTATATAGATGATGTTCTCTCACTAAATAATGTAAAATTTGGTGACTATGTTGAACGAATCTATCCCATCGAACTAGAGATAAAGGATACTACAGATACAGTTAAGTTTGCATCATATCTTGACTATATCTAGAAATTGACAATGAGGGTCGGTTGAAAACAAAAATTTACGACAAAAGAGATGATTTTAAGCTTTCCAATTGTGAACTTTCCATTTCTATGTAGCAACATTCTAGCAGCGCCTGCATACGGAGTATATATCTCCCAATTGATAAGATGTTCCCGTGTTTGTATTTCCTATCATGATTTCCTTGATAGAGGATTGCTGCTCACAAGCTATTAAACCAAGAGTTCCAAATGGTGAAGTTGAAATCACCCCTTCGTAAATTTTACGGACGCCATCACGAGTTGGTTGACCATTATGGAATAACCGTTTCACAGATGATATCGGATATGTTTCTTATGTCGTAACTACAATACCCTTCCCTTTTCACGAATGTGACTTACCGAATTAGACTATTTATCTCGATGATGGATGTCTGCTTAACGTCCAGCGGCTAATTAAATGCATATTCAGCACGAGAACACGTTAAAATAATATAAAAAAAACCCTGCTGTGTACTAGACCGACGCGCTTAGCCAAAGTTTTAACGTGCTGTTTAACTATGTAACAGTCTGGAGGAGGACATGTAACCTTACCCGGACACATTATTTTGATTTAAAATAACCCCTTAACAAAAAATATAAAACCAAAAAACAACGAGTATCAAAAATGTCAAGTGATCAATATGTTATATTTGTCAGCAATAAACAATTGTCATTACAATATGGCAAGGTAATTATCGCCTCTATTCGAAATAAATTACATATAATATATTCCAGATGAGTTACATTATTGCATAAAACAGCCGTTTTTAAAAGAATATTCCATTCACCAAATATAGAACACCGATTACTTATATCATCTGATTATTATACAAAACCATGAAACGTAACATTTACCAATGAACCATGAAATCGGTCTGAACCCTGTCTGACGGACACGTTAACTTTGCATGGATCCCATATGCCAAACATAGTTATACTATTACTCATAACAAGTGAGTATTTCACATGATAAAAGAAAGTAGATAAAATTTTCAAGCAGTCGCTGAACCATGAAAAATGAGATCAAAGACAATGAACAGATATGACAGACGGAAACTTAGCAGGTGTGGACCCTGGATTTTGAAAGGGGAGGCGGGGGTATTAGCTGTCAATGTTTGAAGTGTTACTTGTAAAAGGTTTATGCATTTATCTATCATATGTAAAGCTCCATAAAGATGGGGCGGGCCACTTACCTATCATAAATCCGCCTCTACCTACATGTAGTAACATAAGGCTTCTGGATACAAATGAAGCATCTACCCTCTGAAATATAAAGCTTCATATAACTATGTCTCGCATTCAGTGTCTTTCGTAGCAGGCGACACAAAATCTGATTAAAAGGAAAACCAGAGCGCCTCAACTCATATTTTTATAAATTTGAATCAGTTAAGGCTATGATCCAATAATTCGTTGATAGTTATGTTACCACATTTTTCATTTATTTCTTTTATGGCAGCAGCAAATTTTATTTTTCATGTTGTGCCAATATTTTGTAAAGTCTCTATAGCAAAAGAAAGAAAATAGCCAAATATTTAAAAAAAAAATGATCTAAAAAAGTCGATTTTGATTTTTTTAAATGATCCTACAAAAAGTAAACTTCTTGATATCCTTGGTAAATACAGTGTTACGATAACAACTTCATCATAGACTGAGGTTAATTCTGACAATAAACACAACGGATATAAACATGTCTATTAACATGATAATATAAAAATTTGTAGAGTATACTTCTATGATGAGACATCAACCCAACAACTAAAAACAAATAAACGTCATCTAAGAAGATCTGAGTGGGGTTTACAGAATAGAGAATAATGTGTCAGAAAAATAGGGAAAAAAAAACAATACGGAAAAATGGGACAAAAATATAGAGGATATAGATAAATAAACTCATCATAGATACCAGGATTGAAATTTTGTATTTGCGCCAGACGCGCATTTCGTCTAGAAAAGACTCATAAGTGACGCTCGAATAAAAAAAAAACTTAAAAAGGCCAAATAAAGTACAAAGTTGAAGAGGCTTGAGGACCAAACATTCCTAAAAGTTTTGTCAAATACAGCTAAGGTAATCTATTCCTGAGGTAGAAAAGACTTAATATTTCAAAAATTCAGAGTTTTGTAAACAGATCATTTATAATTATGACCATATCAATGATAATTCATGTCAACACAGAGGTGCTGACTACTGGGCTGGTGAGACCCTCGGGGAATAAAAACTCTTCCAGCAGTGGCATCGACCAATGACCAAAAAATTTAAAGAATACAGAAATAAAGAACCTCGTATCAATACCATCATATACATGTAGTTTTCAACAACACAAAGCATAGTCTTTATAACATGTTTACAAGAAGACAGTCTTAGAAATTTTGACATTTAATGTCATAAAATATAAGTAGACGTGGGGCCTGTTTATCGAAGAGCTTTTAGGACTAGGACATGTCCTAAGATCATCTTAGGACGTATTGTAGTCCTAAGTGGGTTTATCAAACATATCTTAACTAAGGAAAAGTCATACGAATCATCCTAACTTTAGGACGCCTATTTAGGTGTCTTAAGATGGTCTTAGGATGGTCCTAACTTTAGAATATATGTTATCAGGGTTAATTTGTAAGACCGCGGCTAATATATGTTTAATTATTGGGAGCAGTATCAATATTTTTTGAAGCCAAGGTGAAGCCATAGACCACATAGGGACTATAATAACCAACTGAAATATTTGGGTGACATTGTTATCATACGCAAGCATAGATTATCATGTCTGTAACACAGGCGCTTAGGAAATAGCCCCCCCCCTTTTTTTTTTGGTGAATTTTAATTTTACTAAGTAAATATTCCTTAATATTTTAACTTGTATTCAAAGGTTTTACTAGCATTGAGAGATAAAAATGAATTTTCAAATGACGTTAAAATTCCGATTCAAAGTGGACAGTATAAAGTACCATAACATTTAAAAAGTTTTAATAATCGCCTTAAACAGAACAGTTGATTACCTCGCACATCCTTAACAATCATAAGTTTAGGTATAAATTATAATTATGTGTATCGGATTCATGTATTTATAACAATTGCCATATGTAATTCCCAAAGCTGGTAATAAGAATGTTTAATTATACCATACGTATCACGACGTAACTTGGTATACATACCGCAGCTTAACGTTTTAAAAAAGGAAGATTCTGGTGTTCGGACAGAGTTGACGTAAATTGGTAAATCCTTGTTTGTTATAAAAAAGGTTCCATTTTTAAGTATCTTTATAAACTCTTTGACACTTCACGAGCATAACTACCTGTAAGCAATAAATACAACTTTCTTTTTTACTGTTATATGACGAAAGCTGTTTATTGTATATTAATTAGATGGAGCAACAAACTTAAGTATACTTCACACAAACCAAATTTTCTTTTAACAATTGAAGTTTAATATTTCAAGCAATGTTCTTAGGAGCCTCCATGGTAGCACTCTTTTCCAATGCAACACTGCTTAACTTCCTGTCAACACAACTGCCAGCACAAAAAGATCCAGATGGAATCTTTGATCAGCCTTTCAAGAAGTACTATAATTACATCGTAGGTATGTGTTTTCATTATACGTATAGTTTTAACTGTCTTACTGTTTAACGTATTTTCCGCTGTGCAAAACAAAATCTTATAATAAGAAGTAGACGTTGAAAATAGAAAAAAAATATTATCGATTGGCAATGAGATAACAAGGACAAAATATACAAAAAGACAAACAACAGTCTACAAAACACAAAACACAACATAGAAAACTAAAAACTGAGCAACACGAACCGAACCAAAAACAGATTGAAATATCCATCCATCAAATCTAAAAGGACGGGGATGTGAACAAATGAAAATCACCGTATGCCCCACTGCAATGAAGAAACCAATACCGTATAGTAAGCTCTAAAATGCCTCGTCATGATCAAATTTGTCATGGCAGACAAAAATCAACGATAACCACTAGCTAGATTGAGACAAGCACATAAACAATGTGGCGGGATTGAACATGTTTGAAAGGGCCCTATCCTTCCATTATATCGGGACAGTAGCGTTACAGTCCAATCTAAGAACAAACTTTGAAAATCAGTTGGAAATGACTAGACTCATCTAATCGACACGAAAAACAGCATAAACTAACATGGTTATATTCTCGGGGATCCTCCGGGACTTATGGTCTACAACAGAGGTATCGACCCAATATTTTGATAATTGATGTCAATAGAATATGAAAATAAATGGAAAAGGCTACGCCAATCATTTGATAAGATACTGCTGATTTGAACAGCGGTATACTACAGTAGCCTTCATTCATGTACGGATGCGCAATGGTCAATAACACAATATCATTTTCAGCTTTCTGTAAATGTCTCACTACTATTTATTTGCAGTTGGTGCTGGATCAGCGGGTAGTATTATTGCAACAAGGTTGTCCGAAGACCGAACAAATGTGTTATTACTGGAAGCTGGAGGATCTGATTTGGAAAACGAATTTACCTGAATACCATTACAGTGGCAACGAATATTAAGGGCAAAGGAAAATTGGAGTTTCGACACGGTACCACAAAAATATTCTTTTTTGTCTGAGAGTAGCCGGGTGAGAATACCTTATAATGTTGTGTTTGAAATATAATTATATATAACGGGGATGGGTGTTCCGATATTTCTTAGATTTCAGAGTTGAATAGACTGTCTGGTCAATAAATTGTATTACCTCAAAATATCACATTTTAGACATTCACTAAATAGTTAATCTTGTTGATTAACGTATCAGCGTTCCTTTTATGTTTAGACAATTCTCTTGCAGTCAATGCAGTACTGTTCAGTAGCTTTTCAATAATATGGGTATGTTTGATGTGTACAGGTAAATAACAACTACTGAACAGTCTGAACATAGACTTTACATATCGTAATTGCCTGCAACCGAATTGTCTGACCAGTACTGAATTTACCGCAGTAGATAAGCCTGAAAATTAACGGAAACACTCAAAATTACTTAATTATTTATTGTTCAGTCTTTTAAGAGCTGTTCAGATCAAAATTACCGTTTCAGATCAAAATTGCTTTACTAGTGATAACCTGTTTACAAAAGGCCTTCGATGAATTCCTGATTTTTTGTCTATAAATTAGTACAAGTGTTTTAAGTCCGAGTAAATATAAATAAAGGTTAACATATATTTGAATTAAGAAGAAATCACAAAGGGTAAAAAAAAAAAACAAAGAGAAACCGAAAGGAGGACAATGCATATTGTATGTATCACCTATCAATTATTGCAAACATAAAAAAAAAACACATTGTTTATAAAAAAGCCTACTAAAAGTTGTTGACAATGTGTTTCCGTCAAATTAAGAGTCGCTAGTTCTATGGTTGTCACTGTCTTTTTGTAATGATTATATTTTTGCTTTCTGATTTTAACTTAATCAATTGCAAGCCCTTTATTTGTCTCTTTCATATTGTCAAAGCTGTAATCCCATTGGTCTACCTAAGTCGTCTTACGGTATTGGTCGTTTGCTATTGTTGAAATCTTGGACTGAACTGTTTACGATATGAAATCTGTCTGCGGTTTTTTTTAGAGTTTAATAATTTTCATTTAATATATTCTTGCGACACGTCATTTTGGTATTAAAGGAGATACAGAACATACGTAAATCAGATAGCATCATAACAACCAGAAAATCAGAAAAACTAAACTAAATATACTGTAAACACGTCATAGACATTTACAGGTCACCCATATCCCAACTGTATTTATTGAAAATATATAACACTTATTTGTCAATACAGATCGATCATATATCAAAGGTTTAGCTGATTAGCTTAGTTTTCATTAAGTGTCATGTCCACAACTTTCATTGATTATACATGTTATAATTGGAAATCACTTTGATTTGTTTGATCCGGTTGAGTTTGGAATATTTCTGATTTACATTCTTTATTTATGCTCTGTGCACGTTAGTCACCATTTCAGATTTTGCATTATCGTTAACTCAGAAGTATACAATTGCAACAACTAGAAATTTGTTGCAATCGCCCTACACTTTTTCTGAAAATGTAACTGCGTGTATATATATTTTTGTATTAGGGGCCAGCTGAAGCCCGCCTCCGGGTGCGGGATTTCCTCACTGTGTTAAAGACCCATTGGTGGCCTTTGGCTGTTTTTCCTCTTTGGTCGGGTTGTTGTCTTACTTCAAAAAGAAAAATATAACCTCCCATCCCCCCGAACAAATAAGTAATCAGAAAAAAATATGAAAACCGTCAAATTCAATTAGTTTGTCCTCATTCTCTGACTTTTGACTTAATTTTGCCTAGTAAATCTTTATGTTTTTCACTGAGGTCATAATCTGCTTCTGTCGAATACATGTATATTTTACTGATGACGTTGTGTGACTACACGGTTTACACGTAAATGAAAAGAGTTGACTGTGCAGAAAATGTCCGGTTTTGTCGAATATATTTTACTCAAAATAATGCCTGAAGACTCGTAAATGATTTTGTATAAAACAAAATAAACCAGATTGATAAAAAAAACATAACAAATAAAATACTACAATAACTTGGCATATATTAAACAGCAACTACAAAAAAAAAAAACCAATTAAAGGATAAGAAAACAGAAAAAAATAGTTGTTTAATTTCGAACAAAGGTGTTTTTCAGTGGATATAGTAAACAGACAATAGAATAAACGCATCTAGTGGTTGTATCATTGACTTGTAGTCTCGTGTTGTATTTTATTCTTAAACCCACTTCGTCGCGATTGCTTTGAAAACTTATTCATATTTCTATACTCTCATGATTCACGACATCTTTTTCGGATTTTAGTGGACATTGTGTTGCTAAGTCTACAATTTCTATGTACTGTTTGCTGACTTTTGTTTGCCTTTCCGTTGTATTTTTTTTTTTTTTGCCATTACGTTCCAAGTTTACGACTTATTCAATTTTTATGTGTCTTTGGTGTCTGCCGCCTCTCAAAATTCAAGTTCAATTAGATAGATAATGTTCTACACTGACTAAATATTTAACTGTACGGCGACCTTAAAAAAACAAATGAATAAACAAAAACAATTTACACATCGTTGTTTTGTCATTAGAAGACCAAAGGCCATTGCGGTAAGGTGTTGGGCGGTACTAGCAGTATCAATGCAATGTTTTACATTAGAGGAAGTCGTCATGATTATGACAAGTGGGAAAAAGAAGGTTGTACTGGATGGGGTTATGACGATGTTTTACCATACTTCAAAAAGTCAGAAGATATTCAAATTCCAGGTTTTATCAATTCCTGTAAGTAAAAACAGTAATTTGAAATATATAGATGATGTAATGAAAATAATGAAACTCGCTTACTATATTGTAAACAAATTGCAAATTATGTAAATAATGAATTCGTTCTGTGAAACTGTTTTTAAGTTTCAATGCGTGCAATACACGTACAAGATGTACACTGAAACTTTGTGGTAGCTATGGTTTTTGTTCTAGTCGTGTTTTTGAATCTATTTAGTTGAAAAAATAAGCAATACAAACACATTAACGGATACATTACCATCCTTTTTCCCTATTCAACATACTCTCTTTTTGCCATGACTTTTTTACATTTCCCGCAATTAATTTGGGTAAATCAAATGTACTGAGCCTATTTAAATCCTTGTTTTGTTAAAATTGGTTTTCATCCTGAATACGCATGAGATATATAAACGCTAAACAAAGAACAATCAATCCATTATTTGTTTGAAACCATTATCACAGAATTTCTAAACCTTAAAAAGTTCATAGAATATACTTGTTGACATTTTCAACGAAAAATCTCGTCATTGAAAATTATTTAGAGGATAACTCGTGGTAATCAAAGAGGTATTGAGAAGTCCAGTGAAATAGAGAGGGATTTATTTTCTTATCATGTAAGCATTGCATGTTCTAGCAGGGACAATTTTCTTTTAGTCAAGAGAATTGATGTTTTTTTCCTTAAAATGAAAATATTTTGACCTCGAACTTTTTGCATATAAATGTTATAGGAACATTTGAGCAAAATATATACGCTTTAAACTCAATGAACATTTAATTTGTATTTGACATGTACATCAATGGTCAGAAACTATCTTTAAGTTAAATATCTATCCCATTTCTATATCGTAGCGTATCATGGACATGGAGGTCCCTTGGTTATTACAGAAGGACACACTGCTCCATTAGAGTTCCTTCATAGGTTAGCAGCTAAGGAAAAAGGCTTGCCAGTCACTGACTGTAATGGTTTTAATCAAATTGGTAATTATTGTTCAATCTACTGGTAGAATGATTGTTAATCTTGTGTTAATCTTAATGTATAATGTATATTCAATATATAAGGGAAGAAAGATATATGATAAGAGTCATAATCTGGCCCCTGACATTCATAGGACAGTTAACTATTTTCAGCAATTTCAAAAGTATGTTGATGGCTCTTTTATGAAATGAACAGGAATATATTAGTTTTTGTTCGTCTTAGCAAGTGTGTTCGTCGTTCGTTGTTTGGTTGATTTGTTCTGGTTTCTATCGTCAGAAGGATTATCCGTTTGCGCTGTGCATCTGAAACTTTAACAAAAACGGATATACATGAATGAACTTTTTAGAACACTTTATTTCATAGCGCGTTTTTCTTTGTTTTATATTTATTGATCCGGAGGACATGTGGGAATTCCATTGGCAACATTTCAATTCTGTATCATTAATAGTATTGCATATCTTTTGTATTCTATGTTTTTCTGTTGTCTTTCCCTTGCTTTTATACTTTTTTTTCGATCTGTTTACCATCTTATTGAATTCTAGTTCCGGAATAATTCAGACTTGACTACGCTGCGAATGACGAAATAACTTCAAAATAACTATCATCCTTACTTAATAGAATCAAAACGTTGGTCAAGTTTGATTTGGACATATTCTATTAGTTTCACTTAATCTTATATTTGCATGAAACAGATACATTTTATATTTACCTTAATATGATAGTATTATATGTTGTATGTGAGTTTGGTTTTCTCTTAGGATATTGTGGCATACAGGCAAACGTAAAAAACGGCGAACGTTGTTCTTCAGCAAGTTGTTTTCTAAGACCTAAATTGCACAGACGAAATTTACAGGTTGCTACCAACAGCTACGTTACAAAGGTACGTGTTTTTAAATATTGATTGTATATTTATTTTTGGATCAAAAATTTTAATTCTTTATCTTGTTTGATATGTTTGTGAAAACAAAAAGCAGTATGGCATAACACATATACATATTATACATGTTACAGTTAATTTGTCTTGAACATTTTATTACTTTTAGAATAATATGCAAAACACCAGGATGTCACATCTCGATATTTTATATGGTTGTATCTATTACTCTTTAAATAGATATTCTGATGTCTTTCTTTTTTTAACGTAATCAGACGTTAAGTATATAATTAAAGTACCATAAGCAATTTGACGGATGTCACATATAGAGCACAATCTGTTTATTCTTCCGCAGCACCTTAAACTAACCCGGTTTAAGGTTGTGTATTTGCAGCTTAGTCTTTAGTTTAATGTGTAGTATTTTTTGGACTTGCTTGTCTTTTTGTCGTTTTTCGTTTTTCGTTTTTTTTTGCTATGTCATTATTATTTCGACTGAAGAGTTTGGATTTTTCCTTCTGCCTCATTAATAACAAAGAGTAAAGCATTCAAAATATTTAAGTACACATTATCAATAACAGTAATTGTAAACGGTGACATGAAAACTTAACTACTTGTCTTTGTGTGTATTGCTTTTCCCTGTGCCTGCATCACTATGCTCAGCTCATAAGGAAATTGCCAATCAAGGTGTCGTGACATCAAATATGCTTGATTCGGCCATCATAAGTTTAACCCCTACTTATCACCGACCTTATATTGTTTGACGTTCATATGTTGTGTTTTGTGTACTGTTGTTTGTCTTTTGGCCTTTTTTTCGCGTTTTCCCATGGCGTTGTCAGTTTATTTTCGACTTATGAGTTTGGATGTCCCTTTTGTATCTCTCACCTCTCCTTTGACCCTAACTTGTCAAGTACTCTTCTGGTTATTTCACGAATAGCAATCTCAACTTGTCACACATTTACCCATGTATTTACCCATAAATTTTGAAGAAAAATGTTCTTACACCTAGATTTTTCACCTGATTTTAATTCTTCTTGAAATAATCCATAGACTACTCGACCACCCAGGCTACATTAAATTATAGCTTTCGGTGGTCGATGTAATGCATGTCCTCGTGGGCTTTATCTAGGGTTGTAACACAGTACACGATGTATAGTGGCAAGTAGATGGTGTACCTTTCAGATCAGCTTTTTTGCCTGTCGTAAAGGATGATAATGTTAATTACCATGCCACTACATCAGATTTTAATTTTATTATACACGTCTAAACATGTGACAACTTTATGACAGACATTCTCCATCGGATAACACGTGGTTATACAGGGATAACACCATAATATATATATAATTCGTCTCAAATTTAGCCCAACAATGTTAGATCTTCAAATTTGCGTTATCAAATTTTTAATCTTTCCGCAGCATGATTCGAACTTTTGCTTCTGTGACATCGTGGCAACACCGACTGGACCGTGTCCAGTGCCCTAGACCACTCGACCACCAAGGATACATTAAAATATATGTATATATATATACATATGACTACTAGAGAAAATTATAGAGATGTTCTTTTTGTAAAGAATACCATCTATATTTATTTTGCAAACATAATTTTACGTGTATAGTAGGTTAATTCAGGTCATTACCATGTAGATTATTATACGAAATGGCGAAGCCAAAGGTGTTGTTGTAATGAAAAATGGAAAGAAGACACGAATCTATGCTAGGAAAGAAGTTATCATTTCCGCAGGAGTGTTCGGATCACCAAAACTCCTGTTATTGTCTGGCATAGGACCAAGACATCATCTGGAAAAGTTAAGGGTAATTATAACTGTAACTGTCATTTTGAATAACAACATAATACAACATATTACGCCTGTAATCAAGACGATCTTGATAAAATATAAGTCTTTGCTTTTATGGACAAGTATGCAATAATAAAAGATATCAGCCATATAATTCAGTATGCAAGACGTGCATTTCATAAAGCCAAATCAATTACAAAAGTGGCGAAGATTGAAGTTATCATTTACAAACTGCATAACAAATTATGCATATTACCTTTTATGGTTTTCAACGGACGTTATAGTAGTTAATTTGTGTCATTTTTTTGAAATATAAACTTTGCAGATCCAAATCGAAACCAGGTATTGATTTAAATCGGTTTTCCAATATGTCAGCCCAGATTGTAAACGTTACTTCAATGTATTATTTGTTAAGCAAGATACAAAAACACTTAAAATCAATAATTAAAACACACATATATCTTCCCCAGAATTAAAAAACATATGATTCACATTGTTCAATTACAAAGGTCTCAAGACATACCAACAAAATACATCTAAAATCTAAAACAGGTTTGTAGAAGAATAGACGAGGAAAAGAAGTGAGACCAATATCCTATACATGTATTTCACAACACGGTCATTTCTCCAAAAAATATTTCTACATGTATCTCAACAAGAATAAAAAAAATAAATAGATGCATGCACGTGGTCTAAGATACTAATAAAATTACGACGTAATTTAAAACATATGAGAAAATATAAACATGCATGAAGTAGCTCAGAACCTCTTTAACAGATTTTAAGAAATGTTACGTAATTATCAAAACACAGATGATAAAAACATCCAAAACAAACATTTCTTTTTGTGAAAAGCCATGTTCCAGGTTTCCGTACCCTTTTAATTTGACACAAATACAGAGGAATTTGAATATTCCCTGTTTTAGTACTTGTAATTGAAAAATATGACGCAAAAACACAAACATCGTCTATGCAGAATATAGTTGTCCTCATAAGGCATAATGTAGGACGTTAAAATTCTGGCAACTTTGTCAGATTAATGAAAATTATGGAAAGTTTTATTTATTCATGAAATTCAACGGACATCAGGGAAATAAAATGATTGATTATATATGTAGAGAACTATACCCCATTAAAAAAAAGACCGCTTCCAAAGATATGGATTGCAGTATCATACTATATTCCTTATAACTACTCGGGATACACATATTGTTTGTGCCATTCAAATACATTTAGTATCATTTTTAACAGTCACACTTTGTTTGTTTGCATTCAAAACCCTATTTGGGTAGGGCAAGTAACATCATTGGAAGAAATACAATCTTCAAACTTTTCAAGGAGGTAGGGAGAACTTCTCTAAGATTTATTTCACCCATTATGAAAATTCTTTCCATCTTTGTAACCATTTACAGTAAAACAACACCATATGCATATGTAAAGCTTGCAACAACGATTTAATATATTTTTGAACATGCAACAAAATTATAAGAAATGATGAAGATGGAACAGACTTGTATTTATACATATTCCATTACCCTTTAAGTATTTATAATAAAACAATTACCAAGCACATTCTAAACCAAAACGATTATTCCTTCAATGGAACATGTAAAGCATGGCAATAAGGCAGAATAATTGTCTTTCAAGTCTGTATGCCCATAACATGCACACACATGATATGTTTAATGTTGCCTTTCACACATACCATATGGTATCGAGCCTATATAGATCAACGTATTCAAGGAATTGGCCTCACAATCAAATCGGAATCGTACGTTTTTTTTTTTATATTCCTCTGGGTCGGTTATAATGGTCGAGAGTTATCAGCCACTGACGAATATAAATGCCCAGTTACCACTGCTGAAGTGCTCGCATGATCTAAATACTACATTATATGTGCCGGTTCATTACTTACTTTAACCATACATAGCTACATATATTTGAAATCCAATATAACAGGAGACGAAGTGAATAAATACTCGAATACTTGATGAACTTTGTGACCAGGGACATAAAAAGATTAGCCAAATCAAGTTAAGGTTAACTTTGCCTGATGGATTGCAACGTTTTTTTTTCTCACTATTTTTTCATTTCATTATGAGAGAATTTAAGAAAAGTTTGCTATAAATCATGTCAGTGTCGAAACACTGACTACTGACCTGATGATATACATGTATATATATGCACCTCGTACAAGCAGCAGCGGTATCGAATCGATGCTAGAAAGAAATGTTAATTGCATGCGCTTTTCTGACTTGACCTTCAAAAGAAAATTTGTACAATGCCTTTCAATATCTTATTTTAAAAAGATATACAGTTCTGCATATGCAATATCAGTTCCTAACTGATACATATTGTAGGTTTACACACGATATGATACATTTACATTGAGTGTACAGTATTTCTTTGATTATGAACTACTTTATCGTTACACTGATGCAGTTTCAATGGTAGCGTTCCTTTTATATTTATTTTCAATCAGATGTTTTGTAATGGCAGGTACCACTGAAAGCTGATCTTCCAGTCGGTGAAGGAATGCAATATCACATGCAATACTATTTCCAGTACTCTATTACTACACCTATAAACATGAACAAAGAGAAGGCTTCAGACCAGCAATCCATTATGGACTATATAATTTACAAGACAGGTATACAACTGTGTAATAGAAATAATACATAAATAGCATAACATGAATAACAAAAAAAAAAAAAAAACACACTCGAAACATTAACCCTGACTCCATGGAAAAATAGAACAACGAAAAACAATCAATTACAAACAGTGCATTATTTATACAGTCTGATTTGGTATATGGACATAATGACGTGCGTCAAAAAAAAAAATTGCCTACGCACAAAAGAGGGGAAACATATACCAGAGGGACATTAAAACTAATAAATCAAAAATAAACTGACAACGCCATGGCCACAAAAGAAAAAGACAAACAGACAAACAATAGTACACAAAACACAACATAAACAAATAAAAACTAAGCAACACGAACCCCACCAAAAAATTGAGGTGATTTCAGGTACTCTGGAAGGGTAAGCAGATCCTGCTCCACATGTGGCATCCGTCGTGTTGCTCATGTTCAAACAAATTTACCTGTCTAGACAATTATTCGTTAAAGGAAAAAAAAACACAGTAAAAACCGTGCACACTGATGACCATTAACGTACACAATACAGTAATTTACGGCAAATAATGAAGAAAGTAGTCATAATGGATCGCTACTATAGGAAGCTAGATACTACAACTCAAGGAAAAAAACAGATACAACACCCTTAAAAGTTTTCATGAAGTGTTATCAAAATATTGGTCGTCATTGAATACCATTGTTACAGTTTGTGTACATACTAAGTATCGTTGTTTCCCATTCGTCTGATGAGCTGGAGCTTTTAGTTTTGCAATTGTTCAGGAATTTTTCGTTTTGAATTTTCCTTGGAGTTCGGTATTTTTGTTGTTTTTATAAAAGGCAACAGTATTTTGCCAACTTTCAAGTTTCATGAAATCATTTTAAACATGCAAGGCAAGATAAAAATCTGGCGGAATTGCACTAATTCCCAAAAAAGAGCGACACTGGATGTGAAGACCAGATACGCCTATCCTGTAATTGATGTATCCCCCTCAATGTATATCCAGACTCACTTCTTATGTAAGGATAAGTAATAGGACAACATCGGTTATGTTTATGGATCAGATGACTTTTAAGGTAGCTTCACACCTTATGCATCTCGTTAGTTTAAATACTACATCATATTGATTAATCAATTCATTGTGGTGAATGTGAAACTTTCGACGTATCGGTTTCAGTCTCTTATCCATATAACCCTGTTAGAATAGCTTTTGCGTTTGGAGCACATCCCAGTTGATGAAATCAGTACATATACATGATATAAGCCAACATCAAAAAATTCCATGAAATCCAAAACGAAGCAAGACCGGTTGTGAAAACCAGATAAGCTCATCCTGCAATGGATGGATCCACCACAATGCGAATCTAGATTCACTCTTAATGTCACAGTATTGAGCACAATATTTAAAAGGACACAATAGGTACATCTAATAGCCAGACGAATTTTCTTGTATCTTAACACCTAAGTCCGTAACCCATTTATCTCCTTAGTTTAGACACAGGTTTATCGCATCGGTAATTCAATTCATCATGGTGACCTTGGAACTTGTGAAGTATCGGTTCAGTCGTTTTTCCTCATAACCATGTTAGTGTACTTTTGTGGTTAGAGTACTTTCATGCTCATGATGGCCTTAAAATGTGGAAATTCACGCATGTAAAAAAAGACAGAAGACACCAACATGACCAAGGGAGCATAAAAAAGACTGAAGTCGAATAAAGGCAGACTAGATTGATACTACTGCGAAACGGGAAAGCTTTAATAGTCACTAGTTTTTAGATTGAAGTCGTTCATGTGTGTAAATGTTAAGAAAAATAATCAGATAAGAAGCAGATCATGCAGATCTGATAGCTTAATAATATCCTTTCAGGTCGACAAAATCACTATGATATGCCGGACAAATAGGTTATTGAATGTCAATATATATGACATAGACATAACAGAACTTTGAAAATCTGTTTTTTTTTTCTTTGAGAAGGTTTGCAAAAGCATCGAAATTGTAGGCAATAAAACATGAATAACAAGTTTGCCCAAACTGTAAGATACCATTGTTTAATTCTTTGGTCTGTGATTATTTTATTTTTGCTTCATCAATTTTGCTTTTTGTATTTTAGAGGGTTGAGCAATTGTTGTTGTTTTTTTTTTTGCGCAGGCACTTTCGATAAAATTATGCATTATACAAGCATATAACGTAGCTGTTTGTTTTACAATATGTATCCAAAAGTGCAAATACAATAAATATTTTTGTTTTTTTATCGAATACATGTAAAAATCGTTTTAGATTTCCTTTATCTCGAAGAAATCATTGTTTTCATTTTCAATAATTCTAAACAAATTGCATACATCGAATCTCTTTCTACTTCATACAATTACACAAATGGTATAATATCTTCTATCACATTTGACAAATCAAAAGCGCAGACACCTAATTGTATCGAAAGTAGTTTAAACTTTAGTAGACAAATCATTTAGTATCGGAACATTTTTAAATGCAAAAGTAATTGGGATTTTGTTGGTTACGTTTACGATTCAACGGACAATTTATAAACATGTCATGTGTTATATTATACAGGTATTCAGACACGATCTGGTATTGATGGGACAATTTTTGCACGTCTACCTACAAATCATGATCTTGATTTTTTGCCAGACATGCAACTGACTTTTATAGCAAGAGCATTTGAAGCTGAAAATATCAAATGTGCAATTCAAAGGATGAATCATATGGTATGTATATTTGTTTATTTACCCATAAAAGTTTGCAAATAAACATATTACAAGTATACTGTATGCTGGTTCATCTTCTGGACGCCAGTCTTAGCTCCTTTCAATTAAAATACGTATAACAAAATGAAGTCAAAACGGACAATACATATTACCAATGTTGTTCAAACGGTATATTCACGTTTCAATCTGTTAAATCGCATATCTAAAAGTACTACAATTGCTAACATTTTCAATAAATGCAATCGTTGTTACCTTCTATCGATAAGTGTCCTGCCAAAAATAATATACATGTCCCCGTCTTTCCACCAGCAATACGGTGGGGTCCACCCTCAATAGTTGTACATTTTCCTTAAATTTCAAAACTGATATCAAGTAAAAAACTAACAATATTATTTATACACTTACCTGAAACAGACCGGGTTGTGTTATTCAGTACGTAAATGAAACCGGACAGTATTTATCTAAACGCACAAAAGAACACCTTTATCGTTTTCGAAGACCCTATAAATTTAAAAGTATCATTTATCAACACCATAAGAAGCACAATCCCCATATTAAATATTTAACAGTTCAACCTTTACAAATAGTAAATAAGCAACCTGGGAAATCTCATTCAAAACATGTACGATCACGAGAAATAAAAAATGAATTAAATTGGAGTTAAAAATTACAAACAGTTTATCCTCTCGGTCTTAATGATAATATCATGGGAATAGGTAAAATATCAAGAAACGAATCTGTTAACATTTTGGATAACGTTTATAAAACATAAAAACCGTTCACATGGACATAGAATAAATCGCAATAAGAGTAAAATCGTACTATCAATACAAATATTTCGGACATAATTACCATATCTAGAACAACGGCGGACATCATCTGTTAACTGAGTTCTGTTCTTTAACTGTTAATAAATTAAATCAAATTTTGAAGAATTGCAACAAAATTCCATATAACAGTCCTAAGTATTAAATCGTCCCATTGATAATTGCATACTCTTTTCCTAAACTGTTTCCCAAAATTGATCTGCCTGCAGATCATAAAAACATTTAAAATCAGATATGTCAATAAAGGTCTTGATTTTATAAATGTTGCAGGTATTCGTAATGATCATGTTGTAAAAGAACAAAGTCCTTGTTATTTTGATATTACTGAGCTCCCTCTTATTTATTATGTTTACAAAAAATTCTACCCGGAAATATTTTTTTACATATAGTGAGGTGTTAATATCAATGACAATACACCTACGTTATGAAATTGCAGTAATCCCAAATACATGTATGGCCCGAGATCTCATGTTATAACAGGAGACCTTAACATCGTACAGTACCAAGAGCTGAAATTATTCCTTAAAAAAGGACCTAAATATCGTCCCCTGTCAATTATTAAGTGGAATGAGTGTCGTAACATCATCTACGGCTCACTCCATACCTACCATATAAAATGGATAAAACGAGAAAAAACTGAAAACAAATCCTAAGTTTCTTTTCAATTCGGTAATGAAAATAGTTAATATTCGTATTAAACATTTAAATGATCATTTTACTCCTAACAACAACCATAATAGCCCTATTTCTCGTATCAAACATAATATAATAGAACTCGGTAAGGAAGGTGTGTTTGTCCCTGCTGATAAGGCTGCCAATAATTTTATTATTGTTTGACGTACATCTTATATTGATTTTCTGCAAAAGAAAGTCACAAATTCACCAAGATTCCAACTGACTCAATTTTCGGAAATGACATCATAAACAAACATAAGCGTTTTGCTACCTCTTTACACGCAGAACTGAATATCATAAAAGTTCCAACTATGTACTGGCTACTGAAGCTGCATAAAACACCTTACAAATATAGATCTGGTAATAAATTTTTCAAATAAGGTCTACAAAAATAGTGGAAAATATTACTTTTGGTGTGTCAAAAATTGGTTGGAAGTACTTGACAAATTGCAGCTCATATTGGTGCTTTCGAATTTGTTCAAAAATTTGATTTTTCTACCCTTTATACCACTTCTCCTCATAATCTCTCGAAAAACAATCACATTCCTAATTAAATAGGCATTTAAACAGTCAGAATGTAAATATACATGTTCAAACTTATGGTCAATTTTCAGGAACTACAACTATGTCAATTGGACCTACTTTGATATGTAAACTGCACTTGAATTTTTACTAGAAAACAAATTTGTTCGCTCTGGAGATTCCGTATATCGCAAATTTATTGGAATGTCAATGGAGACTAACTGTGCACCACTTATTGCGGACCTATTTCTGTATTGTTACGAATAAAAGTGTATGTCTAAATTAAGCAAAGATCCATCGAAACAATATCTGATACAAAAATTTTATAACACTTTTAGATATTTGGATGATATTTTGGCTCTCAATAATGACGACTTCAGTATGTACACTAACGAGATTTATCATGTTGAACTTACATTAGATAAAGCTAATACTTACAATGAACACTGTCCTTTCCTTGATCTAGTTATCAATATCTCTAACAGGAAGCTTAATACTAAAATTTACGAGGAAAAAGATGATTTTTCATTTCCTATTGTTAATTATCCGTTTTTAGATGGTGACGTTCCCTTGGCACCTTCGATCGTATGGTGTTTATATATCTGAACTTATTCGATTCGCTGGTGTACGTAACATTTGTAACAATGTATTTGATTTTAATAAAAGAAACATCTGTTTTACTGAAAAATTATAACAATATGGTTTTCGATATCAGAAACTTGTCAACATTTAAATTATATGATCGGTACAAGGACATCATTCGTAAATATAAATCAACGTGCAGACATCTTATACTTTCAGGTATATCACATCCATCTTGTATGGTAATATTCTATACAAAGCACACACATGTCTTCATTCACCTCATAAGCCAACCAAACCTTTGAACAGAATTATTCAAAGGGATATAGTTACGATACTGTTGTCAAGTCATTAAAGATTGCATTTCTTTTAATTAATATTGGTTCACTCATAGGGTTTTTGCATCGGAAATAAACACATTTATTCTAAAACAAGATATTGGCATGTTACGAGTTATGTTCTTCTCGTATAATTTATGATGACATGATACTAAACCCCTAACTGGAGGAATTGTGGTTGATTTTCATATGATGAAGACATTTACTTTCGATCAGTTTAATTAAAGTCTGGAGCTGGCATGTAAGTAACTACTAATAGTCCTTTGTTGATCATTGTCCTTTTGCTAAGTTTCTTGCAAACGACATTCTGTACCAGCATTTTAATCAGGCTGATCATTCCATCGTTTCTATGACAGTTCGTATAATCGAAAAAATATACCACAAGACTAACAATCCTCAACTTGCAACGCCTCTCCGTAGACAAAAAGAGGACTACTGGATTCGACAATTGGGAACTGCGACACCATATGGTTGCAATGACAAAATTGATGGTATAGGTATTCTATCTAGTCCTTCCTGTAGCTCGGTGAATGTGATGAATATTTTCAACTCTACTCCTCGACGTAGACACAGTCATGGTCATCGTCATTATACATCACCTACTTTGCATGATGTCTCTATTAATGACTTGCTGCCATTTATACAAAAGCCGTTAGGTATTCATCACATTCGCACGAAACTGTATTCATTACCCCTTTCAAAACTTCATTCTCTGTTCAATTCATGTTTGGAAACCACTGTTACAAACCCTCATTCAAACCAATACAAACTTACAGCTATCATTTCGGATATTGCAAGTCACAGACTTTTTAAACCAGTTCGCATTGGAAAAGATGAAAAAGAAAAAAGATCTTTTCTTAAACTTTCCTTTGCCAACAAAGGTCTCGATGGCATCAACTTAGGCAATATCCTTCATCATAAATTAGTTCAGTCAAAAATACCTCCTTATTTTAAAGATCAGTCTGTACCAATAATTTCTTATACCTATACCAAACCAATTGCAACTAAAATTTTCAATTACAAACACGTTTTGCAGGATCTCAACATTGACGACTTCAAGTCTAAACCTCCTGATTGCACCTGTGCTAGTTCCCAATTCACATATAATCCGGCTGGCCACGTTATTACCGGAGACCTCAACATTGTCAATAACACTTCCCTGCGAAATTTGTTATCCAAAGGTCCGAAATATCGTGAGCCTTAATCCATCAATTGGAAATACAACTTCAAAATACTGATGGATTCAGTTGAGGATTATGCCAGGCAATGGGCTAAACGCGAGAATGAAGACGTAGATACTCTTTCCGAATGGATTAAGGCTGTGAGGTCGTTGATACAAATCCGAACTAAAAAACTAAATGGGCATATCAATACCCACGCGACATCAATTTTTAAAGACCCAAATGTTGCAAAACACTTGTCCTACCTCAATGACAAATATGTTGTTGTCCCCGCAGATAAAGCCCCAAACAACATCGTTTTTGTGTGTAAATATCATTACATAAACTGCTTGATAAATGAATTAGGTATTGACAACTCACTTGGAAACTCAATATATACCTTCACGACACTTACCAAAGAGGAAATCCTGGATAATCATAGGTCTGTTCTATGTTCCTTTGGAATTTCAACCAAAGATGAAGAACTGGATCTTCCATCACTGTATTGGATACCTAAACTACATAAGTGTCCTTACAAACAACGGTATATTGCTGGGTCTTCCAAGTGCTCCACGAAACCTCTTTCTAAATTATTAACATCTATTTTATCAGCAATCAAAGCCGGGCTCCAAAGTTATTGTGAAACTGCCTATTCTTGAGGTGGCGTGAATCAGATGTGGATACTAAAAAATTCCAAAGATCTTTTAGAGTAGATACAATATAAGACTCTCTCATCTTGCAATAGTATTACAACATTTGACTTTTCTACACTTTACACAAGTATTCCCCATTCCAAACTAAGAGACAAATTGAAAGAGTTGGTATTACTTTGTTTCATTAAAAAGAATGGCGAACGTAGATACAAGTATCTTGTCTTGGGGAGGGATAAATCCTACTTTGTAAAGAATCACTCTGATTCAAACAAAAAATTCTCTGAAACTGACATTATCAAGATGTTTGATTTCTTGATTGACAACATATTTGTTACGTTTGGAGGACGTGTTTTTCAACAGACTGTCGGAATTCCAATGGGAACCAATTGTGCTCCTCTTCTTGCCGACTTGTTTCTTTATTATTATGAGGCTGACTTCATACAGGAACTTCTTAGGAAGAAAGATAAGAAGTTAGCAATATCCTTTAACTCTACGTTCCGCTATATAGATGATGTTCTCTCACTAAATAATACAAAATTTGGTGACTATGTTGAACGAATCTATCCCATCGAACTAGAGATAAAGGATACTACAGTTACAGTTAAGTCTGCCTCATATCTTGACTTACATCTAGAAATTGACAATGAGGGTCGGTTGCAAACAAAACTTTACGACAAAAGAGATGATTTCAGCTTCCCAATTGTGAACTTTCCATTTCTATGTAGCAACATTCCAGCAGCGACTGCATACGGAGTATATATCTCCCAATTGATACGATATTCCCGGGCTTGTGTTTCCTATCATGATTTCCTCGATAGAGAATTGCTGCTCACAAGGAAGCTATTAAGCCAAGAGTTCCAAATGGTGAAGTTGAAATCATCCCTTCGTAAATTTTACGGACGCCATCACAAGTTGGTTGACCGTTATGGAATAACCGTTTCACAGATGATATCGGATATGTTCCTTATGTCGTAACTACAATACCCTTCCCTTCTCACGAATGTGACTTACCGAATTAGACTATTTACCGGATTTGTAATAACATAAGCAACACGACGGGTGCCACATGTGGAGCAGGATCTGCTTACCCTTCCGGAGCACCTGATATCACCCCCAGTTTTTGGTGGGGTTCGTGTTGCTTAGTCTTTAGTTTTCTATGTTGTGTCATCTGTACTATTATTTGTCTGTTTGTCTTTTTATTTTTGGCCATGGCGTTGTCAGTTTGTTTTCGATCTATGAGTTTGACTGTCCCTCTGGTATCTTTCGTCCCTCTTTTTCTTCTGTTACGTATTCTAACATCGGACTCAGACTTCTTTTAAACTGAGTTTTACTGTGCGTATTGTTGTGTGTTTGTTTATTCCATATTGGCTAGAAGTATTGACGGAGGGTTGAGATCTTAAAAACATGGTTATCCCCGCCACATGTTGTGCCTGTCCAAAGTAAAGAGCCTCTAGCCTTTGTTAGTCTTGTGTGTTTTTTTTTTAAATTTTGGGTCATGTGTATGTTTCGAAGTTTAGTGTGGCATCCATTTCGTTAAACTGGTTTACATTATTATTTAGGGGCCAGCTGTAGCCCGCCTCCGGATGTGGGATTTTAACGCTTCTTTGAAGACCCAATGGTGTCCTTGTGTTGTGTTCTGCTCTTTGGTCGGGTTGTTGTCTCTTTGACACATCCCCCGTTTCCATTCTTTATTTTATACCAACATTGTCTCCTGGTGTCCTGCTTCAGTATTGAGTGTAATTTCGCGATCGGTGACCTCACAATGTAGATTATTTCTTTAATTAAAAGCAACAGCAAAGTTTTAAAACAAAATTAACATTTACGCGCCAATATCAGGTTGTATTATAGGGTAAAGAAACACAAGACGTACATTGTCGAAAACTATTAATAAAAGATATATACATGTAAAATACATGCATATTTCAGTATCCGCTACAAATCAAGTTGAACTTCAGAAATCCGGTGTTTATCTTTGTTTCCACAGCTCTTTGAATGTTGCATTTCATTTCAGGACCCAATCGGTAATATAACCTCACAAGTGTTTGAACCTTCTTGGCTTTCAAATGATAAGGTTTCAGCATTTTAAATGAGTGAAATTAAAAAAAGCTCCTCAGATGTTATTTTCAGTTTCTAGCACTGAATTGATCCTTGCTGATGGTTTGCTTGTCCACGAGGGTTTCATCAGCTCAGTAGTCAGTGCTTTGGCACTGACAAGATTTGTTACATGAATTTATAAATTTTTCCGTTGACAAAATTAAAAGTATAAAGAAATTAGGATTTCAACTCAGACAAAGTTGACATTGTATAGGTTTGCCCATTCTTGTTATTAGCACAAATATTTATACAAAATATGCTTTCTAAGGTTTGAGCGATCCTAAAATAGGTAAGTCTAGAAAAATGTTGCCGACGCACCAAATTCATGAAGCGTTATTTTCATTCTTGTATAGATATTCCATTTTTTTTTAATTTTCTGACAAAGTACTATTATAATACTTTATATTATAGTAATGTTTACTTGAATGACTTGTAAAGACATGTTTCATGTATACATACATCAATTACAAACACGCGTTTAGGTGAATATCTTGAATGTTTAGGTTTTTTTTCCCAGGGAGTTTTTGGCGAAACATCTCGATCAGCTGATGTTGGATTTGGAGTAAATATATGTAAACTTCACCATAAAAGCAGAGGAACAGTTCGACTGAGAAGCAAGAATCCGATGGCGCCTCCTCTTATAGATCCGCAATATTTAGCAAATCAAGATGACGTTGATTCTTACGTAAAAGGTATACATTTGATATCGGTATCACTTTTCGACATGTTCCAAAGTTTGAAAAAGTGTTCACATCTAGTCCACAAAAACAAATTGTTTTTTTAATCAGAACGTTGGGAAAGTCAAGGCTAAAACAATAAAAGGTACAATAACTGTCAGTTAGCCTCCTCCCATCCCCACCCCCCCCCCCCCAACCCCCAAAAAAAAATTAAACAAATAGATAAATGTTTTGGATATCATTTGTATCCTACAATTTTTATATTTTTTTAGTTATTAGGTATATGCAAGAATTTGCAAACAACTCAGCATGGAACAGCATAGGAACTACATTTATCAGGCAAGAAGAATGTACATCTTTCTGCAAAGCATTTACTTTTGACACAGATGACTATTGGAAATGTATGATTCGCCATTATGCAAGCAATTCTAGTCATCAAGTTAGTACATGTAGAATGGGAGCTCTTCATGATAAAACTGCTGTTGTTGACCCACATTTGAGGTTAGAGTAATTTATGTTTTCTGATCTAATTTCAAAAAAGGTATTGCATGCGATATCTGGACATAAATCAGTAAAGTGTATTCAACAGGAAAGAAGGAGCTAGTAACAGTTACGGTACCAATTTTACTGAACTAGATGCGCATATGGACAATATATATATATATCTATAGTGATGCTAAAAGCTAAAAACATGTTAAAGTCAAAAACCTCATTCAGACGTTGAAGGGCTGATAAAACCTGAAAAAACAAAAAAACAAAAAACAAAAAACAAAAACAAAAAGAAAGGAGAGAAAGCAAGCCTTGGACAAGAAATAGAACTTTGCACGAGGGAAATATATTCCTTAATTTAAAATCATTTGAAAATTGTATAACAGCAAATTCAAACAAAATATTGTCCGTTATTTCATGCCAGTACCAAAGTACTGACTACATGTACTAGACTAATGATAATCATTGCACTTTAGAGTCAACCACTAAATAAATAACGATTTCGAAAGGATTGTGTGTGAGAATATAGGTATATAGTATTCACGTACTATCGTTATAACTACAGTTGATGTTTATATTTCGACACTAAAAAGGAACGATTGAATGTACATTATTTATTATCGTTTTCAGAGTGAAAGGAATTAAAAATCTAAGAGTAGCAGATTCGTCAGTGATGCGAAATGTTCCGTCCGGCAACACAAACGCTCCAACAATGATGATTGGAGAAAAAGCTGCTGACATGATTAAAATAAGTAGACATACATAACTCTAATGTGTAGTTCTTATTGGGAAACGTCTTTATGAATAGTCAAACATCTTATTTGCAGATATTCAAATGAATAAAAATTAAATTGCTCCTTCATTAAAGAACATCTGCCTTCATTTGTTGAATGGTTGTAAACATAGACAGCCTTAATGTTCATGCTGATCCATTATTTAAGTAATGTATAATTAATATTTGATTATTTGTTTTGGTTATTATAAGATGAAAAAATGAAAGCTACATCATTGTTTATAGGTTCATACGAAACAGACACATATTTCGTTGACCACTTCCCTTGTACCAGCACTACCAAGAATTTCATTACGTGTGTAATATGTCCATGTAACTGCTGAATATTAACAATAACAAATTGAAGAACTACACTTTCCATTATATTATTTATAAAACGGATTTACACATTTCTTTTTAAAGTTGAACGAAACTTCTAACCATTTCGGTGCAACTGAGTCCCCCCTCCTACCCCCCGGCCTTAAGTTAAATTCATATTGACAAAATTTTTCCGATGTTATCACAAGTAAACGAGTTTAAGTCTAAAAACGGTCATTACATCACCCGAAAAGTCTGAACAATAACTTATTTAAACCTGTTATGTCTTTCAGTGAATTTTCATACTTATCCACTGCGGTCAATTCAGTACTGAAAATATGTGATTACAATACAAAAATATCGCGATATGAATAAATTTAAATGAATAACATGAGATGTTTGGTATATTGTACTGATATAGAAATTACGACAAAACACACACATATACCAAGATGTATATCACATCCAATGTAATCCGGTGCAAACATTTAATTTAAAAGGACATTTAAAAATCTGCCCGAAACAAATACTTTCTGAGGAGATAGGAATCACTACTTTTTAGATAAAAAAAAAAAAAAAATCCTGGCAAGGTTCCTGATAGACAATTCAATATGTGGTGATACAAAACTAGTGTGTTTAATGTAAACCTCCATTTTAACATGTAATATAACAAAAGGTTAACAAAAACCCTGCAATAACTAAGAAACTTGATATATTGTACATACACAAGAAATCGTGCTCATATGCGACTATGATAGCCGTACCATACTAAAAAGAGGAGGGTTCCATTGAAGTTCCTCATTTCTAGTATTAGAGTTCCCTTGACTTAACCCTAGATTATCCCGACAATATCTTTGTATGTTTTACTTGAATATAAACAAACAAGTAAAAAAAAATCTACCGTACTGTACCCAATGTAAACTATACAATCTAAGATACAAAATCATCACACTACTTACTATGAAACAGGATATCACGAAGCAGTGCTGATTTTTCCATCGCAGAGTTGCAACAAGGAAATCTAGCAATCTTTGGAAATGTGGAAAACAAAATTGTTATTTCGGATTGTACTGGATTAGTCAGTGTATTGTTATCCTTATCTGTCTACCAAACCTCATAATATAGGTTAATTTGTGATGCCTAGACCTTTTATAGCTTGCTTTGTGTTATGCGTTTTGTTCATTGTTGATAGCCGTAAAGTGACCTTTACTTTCTAATATCTACATCATGTTGTCTCTTGTGTTGGTCTTGAAAACACTATATTACAGAAAAAGGAATATCAGGTATTGCCAAAAATACTACACAGTACAAACGAACACAAAAACCATCAACATCTGTTCTGATTCCTCAAAAAAAAATGTAAATGGTTCTGCAGAACACTTTCTCGCGTCAACCATTGTTGCTATCAGTGTAAAATTGTACGTTAACTGTGAACATGTCCATTTATCAGTAAATACAAAATCTTTTTTTTTATTAATATCAAACTTTTAACTTTAGATGTTATTTTTTTATCTTGAAAATTAGCTTCTGGCAAAGTTTCATAACAATCAGTGAAGTTATATTTGAAATAGTATGTATGGACACAAGATATGATGGGTATAAAGCAATAATAGATGACACAAATAACGCAGAGAGCAACCTCAGTAGTTTCACGCCAAGAACGTTTTGAATTCTAAATAGCTGGCGAGGTCAAACAAAACACTTAAAATTCGTTTTTATTGCTTCTCTGGTAAAAAGTAAAATAACAAAAATACCGATCTCAAAGGAATTTTTAGAAACGGAAGGTCCCTTATCAAATGAAAAAAGCAAAAGCTCAAACACATAAAACGAATAGAAAACAACAGTCATATTCCTGGCTTGGTACAGGCATTTCCTTATGTAGAAAATGGTGGATTAAACCTGGTTTTATAGCAAGCTACACCTCTCACTTGTATGACAGTCGCATAAAATTCGAAGCTGGTAAGCAAATGTCATTTAGAAGAAAAAGCAGACAGGTTGATTGATAGTCAGAATAATGTGACTGATGTCTTGGTACGGAGACAATCCTTCTTGCGATTTATAGCTAGTGAACTGGCATGTTTAAAATTTGGCTCAACATATTGGTATAGTACAATTCAGGGTTCATTCTCATGTCGCATTAACATGTTTTCATTCTTATATGATTGTAGTATTTGCCAGTGGACATTTAACACAAACGTATGCAACAATCAAATAACCATTTTTAGATTTAGAGGGACATCCCATCTTCAATAAAAGACTGGTGTCGATACTTTATGTTTAAACTTTTCTTGATAAATACAAAAGCTCTTGTCCGCCTAGGTGCAAATTTGTTTACTAATTTAATACACAATATACATTTCTAAACAAAAGAACATGACGCATAAACTAGAAAAAGATTTATTACACCTAATAACAACCGAAATTCTAATAAAAATAAGTGCAAACACCACATCAATACAACATGGTAAACTATAAATAACCTGTAATAAACATATGTTCTAAAGATTCATCCAGAAATACATTGTCAAAAAGAGAACTGAAAATTGGCACCATAAAAAAAAGATGAGAAGATGGATAGAGATGTAAATTCTTTTGTGTATGGTTAGGTAAATGATGATTATGATGATATTCATTTCATTTATACAAGGTTTTCAAATTCTGGATAACAGATACTTAAACAGCTTATCAATTTGGGGTTGATTCTAAAGCAATAGATGCAGACTGGTACATACTGACTTTCTGACAGGTCTGAAGTTGGGAGGTATCAAGAAAATGTCACATACTGATTTATTCTTTTAACTGTTGCTATATTTGCGTTTAAAATGAGAAAACTATAAGAAGTAGCAGCAGACACATTTGTTGTAGAATAAGCAGATACTTGTTCAATCTGAATCATTACTCTGGTATAACATAAAGTGCTCATCTTCATCCCAAAAGTTTATACTGAATTTCTAAATTCACCTCAATTTAAATGTACTGGTATATAAATGTTTTTAAAGATAACATGAATAATTGAAATACACGATGAAATATACCAACAACCATTTTCTCTCAATCATAAATGCTTATAAAATTTATCATTTTTTAATAAACTGCCATGCCCAATAAGAACAAATAAGTATATTGTTCAAATATGTCCTTTAAATAGCACAACCTTGTTTAAATTACTAGTAGTAATGCCCTCTAGAGAGTACATTCAGATTTAATTCCCTTCAAACAGTTTAACAACCTTTAACCGAATCAATCTTTTGTTTAAAAAGTACAAATTTTAACCAATCAGCACGATCAGCAAAAACTTCTCAAAACATACACATTTAAATCAATTTAGTCTAACCTTTAAACTTATCAGTACATCATCTTAACGTACATATCAAGCCAATAATCATGATCATCCACTACAGACAGACATTCTAAACATACAGATTTAATTTGAATTAGCCATGAGATAATTGGTAGCCCTGTAACCTTTCAATCAATCATCTTAAAGTACAACTTCAAACCAATCAGCATGACCAGTCAGACATTCTAAACATACAGATTTTAATTACGTTAGTCTTGAGATATACGTTCAACCATATGCTTCATCATTCATGACTTCTAAAAAAGTTCTACCTTAAAATAATAACTTTTTAAATTTAATAGCGACACATCTTAAATTCAGATTGTTTTGCTTGTATATACATGATATAATCATAATTCTTTGCAAATTCTCACAATATAAAAGAGAGGATAGGGTATATCAACTCTGGACACACTATTCTCACAAAACTTATGTTTTCTAAAAAGATAAAGGTAAAAATCTATGTTAAAAATTTAACAATTACAAGGCTGCATATTCCGTATTACTTGTTATTTATAAACTAACCATAATCATGATAATTGAAAATGCCAATAATTAAAAAAATACAAGAAATCTCAAATGCTATTATTATATTTCTACAATACAGATGTCAATCAGTTTTTTTACATTCATACTCCAAATAGATATCCTTATGTTGTTTATGATTGCAGTAGTTACACAGCGGTCTAATTGTAATCAGTTTAGAAATAAATTGAACAGGTATTTTTACAATTACTGTGTCCTTCTCCTTGTATTGTCTAATGAAAAATCTTGAATAAATGATATATTTGATAATGAAACAGTATATGGGGCTTGTCTTCTATGTGCCATTCCTTGTTTATCAAATCTAGCTGCTATTCCCTCCAGAACTCGAGGGATATATCTGACTAGCAAATGGACTACTCCCTTCGCTTTTTAAATAAATTTACAGCTCTTTCATTTTTTTTTTCTTCCTGCACACTGATACAATTTACTGATTATAAATTGTCACCACGCTGAATTCACCCATGTCTGTCAGCAACGCTATATTGGATGATACGAGAAATGTATATAAGTGATTTATGTTCCTTACCCCCAATGAAAATTGAAACTCTATCCCTCCTCAGTCTGAGGAAGTTCAACAACCCTAGGGTGGGTATGTCCTTCACTGGCAGAAAAGGCAGCACCTGTTGCCTAGAATCAATCAATAAAAAACAATAACCCTTAGATGGGTGTTCCTGCTTTTGTAGCAACTGCTGTCTAAATCACATATAAATTCTTTCTGTCATGCTGATTTTATGAACAATGTGCATGGTAACATTCAAAGATGTTCAATGTCAAATTATTGCGTGTATGATATTTTTGTTGCGCATTAAGTTCTAAATATGCTTTTAAGATATTAAAGATTACACGACATAACAAAATAACGAAA